GGGGGGGGGGGGAGTTGCACGGATTCAATAACCAAACGTATATTGGGGATGGACACATAACATCATGAGTGCTTCCCCTTGCGCTTCGTGCGTGAGACAAATAGCTTGGGCGCGCGACTTGGTAATGGTTGAAGGCTGTCGGTCTCAAGAGCGCACTGTAGGTCTCGAGAGGCGGAAGGTCAGGGTGGTGTCGATCGGGAATCGAGGTCGCAAAATGACAGCGACCCCATGACCACAACTCGAGTGCACCTAAGCCAGCCTCGTCGAACACGCTGGCTACAGGGGTCGGCGGCGAAAGGCTTTCTCGCCAATTTTCACGACCCTATGCCCAACTCTCTACATGGGCGTTGCCAACGCTCTCGGATTTTGCTGCTACTTTCATTCCCCCCAGTTGTTCGCATGGTACACATGGACATGAAAATGTCACAGCTGAGCCAGCGAGAGGCTAATGCCTGCCGTAGGAGGGACGACAACACTCGTTACAAAACAACTAACGTTCCACAGCACACACCACAGGTTACGCCAAGGGTTCGGACATACCCTACCACGGAGAGTGGAGACTGCATGCACGTCGGACCAACACAAGACCCTAACTAAACCCCAAAAAGGTACGGGAGGGTAGTGTGCGTACTTGTCCCCCACGCGAAAAACAAAACAAAAACCCACCCAAGCTGAGCTTGACGAAGTAGGTCCCATCCTCGAAGACCTCCAGCACCCGTGCAACACCCCCCAGCTTGTTCATCCCCTTCGACGTGCGCGCCTTCAGCACCACCAAGTCACCCTTGCTCCACGAGTCTCCTCCCACGGCACCACCTCCAGCCCCGCTGCCTTGAGCGGAGCGGGCTTGCGACGCCCGGTCTCGCGGGGTGATGTCCACCTGCGGGGCATCCGGTCGTGGCGATTCAGGAGCGGCGGTGGCGGGGGTTGACGCGTCTTGTGGCGGTGCGGCTTCGGCGGCGGGGGGAGCAGCAGCAGCAGCAGCAGCAGCAGCAGCGGGCGCAGTAGGTTCAGACTTGATCTGCGCGACCGTCGCGGCCGGGCAAGCGGCGGCGGCGCTGCTGCTGCCGCCGCTACCTTCACCACCTGCTCCCCTTGCCCCGACCGACGCCGCCACACTCCCAGTGCCAGCAGCAGCAGAACCAGCAGCAGCAGCAGTACCAGCAGCAGCTGCAGCTGCAGCAGCAGCAGCAGCAGCAGCAGCAGCAGCAGCAGCACTGCTACCACTACCACCGCCACCTGTCCTTCGTCCGACAGCGGACGACGCCGAGGTGCCACCGCTGACACCACCGTCCGCACCGCCGCAACGCTTCAGCCTCTTGGACGACCCAGCGGACGCGTTACTGACTTCGTCCACGCGACCGGGCGACCGGGTCGGCGTGTGCGAGCCCGCTTCTCCGCGCGGAGGGGGGGGCACGGCCGCCACCGCCGTTGCGGCCGCATGCGGCCTCTTCGTCTTCACTCCCGAAGAAGGCGGCGGCGTTTTCGCCGGGGAGGTGTGGGAGTCCAGCAGCCTCCCGGCCGTCGAGAGTGGTGTCACCACCCGCGCCGTCGACCCCCGGGTAGACGCACCGCCGCCGGTGCTGCCACTGCGGTGTGCGGCCGAAACAGACATCGCGAGCTTCTTCTTGACGGTAGCTTCATCGACCACCCCCGGGGAGGAAGGCAAAGAAGAAGCTCCCCGCGCCCTCCCGCCGGCAGCGCCGGCAGCGAGGGGCACGCGGACGGCGCTCGGCGCCGAGGAAACAGCCGGAGACTTCCCTCCTCCTCCTCCTCCTCCTCCTCCTGAGGCCGCGGCGGCGCGTGGCTTTCCCGCGGAGCCGGCCCTTGGCCGCGGCGGCGGCGGCGGCTGCTGCTGCAGCAGCGGGCTTGGTGTGGGCGTGCTCGGCGCTCCCCCCGCCCGAGAGCTAGCAGCAGTAGCAGCGGCGCCGCTCTTCGAAGTTGTCGCCGCCGTCGCTGCTCGGCGGGCGACAGGGGTCGGCGATCCCTTCTTGTTGTTTTTCTTCCCTTGAGTATTTGAAACCCCTCGCGCCTCCTTCGCTGCTGCCGCGCGCGAGTTGTCCCTGGCAACACCGGCACTGCTGGCGCCGCCGGCTTTCTTGGAAACGGAGGTTGGGGCGGTCGTCGTCGTCGACCTAGGCGATGCCGCCCCCGACTGGGAGTTGATGCTGCCGCTCCTGGCCGGAGGCGCCGACCAGCCCGCGGGAAGCGGGTGCAGGAGGAAGGAGCAGTTGGACGAGGACGGGACTCGGAAACCGTCGAGCTGGAGAGTGTCGCCCGGGTAAAGGAAGGACTGCTGACCGCCCTGTGTTGTTGGATCGTTGGGGGAAACGGCAGTCCAAGTCAGTCAGTCGCGGTTCAAACAAAGAAGAGCGACGTGCGTGTGACCCATTTTAATTTTTTGTTTTCACGTGCGAATGCCTGCAAAATACTGGCATATTACTCTCTCGATGCCCAAATAATACCATCCTCTCCATCTTACACCTTACGTAAGCGCGTTTGTTGTGGGTAAGCGATGTCGCACACCTACCTTGGGTTGCATAAAACACAACGTACACCTGGACCGATATTGAAAAAACTCGGTTACTGCGAGACGAAGACGATGTCAACATGAAGGCGTGATACGTTTCCGGATTGCTCCCGATGTAACGCTTCCAACCCCGAATTTCCAGGCACTGCCACGAACCGGTTTGAAAAATCGGTCCAGGGCGCATGTGTGTGTGCATACTCATAGTCGTGCATACCGTAGTCGTTAGGCCGTTGACCTCGCATACCGACACTGTCGAGACAGAACCACGTGCCCGGTGTTCGGAGGCCCAGGCTACGTTTCACAAAGATGAACCAGACGCTGGTCATCATCCTTGTGTTTTGCTGTGCCACCCAGACATCGGTCCAGGGGGTATGGTACCCCAAGCAACCTATCGTACCATGTTACGCCACAAAACACACCTGGAGCATCTCCCCTGCTCGCAGACTCCTCGCCGCCCCCGGCGCGCCGATCCGCAGCTCCGCCCGTTGGGCCGACGTCAGCCCCGGCGAGCCCTTCCACCTGATGATGCGGATGCCGTTGATGGCGCCCTGCTTGTGCGTGACTTGCAACCGCCCTTCCAGCGGGCAAACCTGCACGATCGCCTGGCTCCGCGACACGCCCTGGTGCACGTTCGGGGGGGAGGGGGGTACGCAACGTTTTGCGTGGCTTAGTCGTTAGCAGACCATTGACCACGCGTCCGCGAGAGGGCAGGGGCAGCAGGGTGGAAATGGCGCCCGTTTGTTGTGCGTTTGCGGCTTCCGTAGCGGTGCCACCAACACGACGCATCGCATCCACTTTGCCAAGCTTTGGGGGGACGGCGGACGGCCCTTCGGTCAAAAAATGCTCCATTTTGAGAGGGCTACATAAAAACAACGGCGCCCACGGGTGTGTGTGGATGCCTACGAAGGTGGTATGTGAGAGCGGCCAGTGCCGGACGGAAAGAGGGACGGCGTGATTGGCCAGAAACCAATGTACTGCGCGCAATGAAATGCCTCCTCATTTGTTCGAGGTATCCGAGGTTACAATCGCGCATACGCGTTAGTAGTCGGGTGCGAAAAACAAACGCCACCAGCTGTTTGAACAGTTGAACAGTCCACGCTTGCAGGGAAAGCAGCGCACATGACCCCCCCCCCGTCCCCCGTCCCCCCGCCCGTGTTGTACACCGCCGTATCGCACATATCAGCACAGCAATGCACCCAACCCACGCACACAAAAAACACGAGCACACTCTCTCCTAAGGAGCAAGAACCCGGCCCCACCTCTTCCCGCTTGTCGATGCCAATCCTGAGCTTGTTGCAGTTAGCCGGGCTCGCGTCCCGCACCGAGTCTCTCCCCACCACGATCTCTCCCAGGGGGAGTGCGTATCGGGCGGGCGGCAGGTTCCAGTTGCCACCGCCACCGCCCTCACCGGTCCCGCTCTTCGCCGGCGGGGCGGGCCCCTCCAAGTAGAAGCCGCTCATGTTCGAATCGGAATCGGTGGGCACTGCCGCCGCGGCCGCCGCTCCCGGGGCCTGAGAAGAAGAAAAAGAAGAAGGCCGATTGTTGGTGACGGCGGGCGGAGAAGCGTTGAGGCTGCTGCTGCTAGCGGGTCTGTTCTCCTTCTCCTTGTCGTTGTCGAGGCTAGTAGCCGCCGCCGCCGGCCGCGCGCGCTTGTCCAAGACGCGACCGCTGCCGCTCTTGCCACCGGCGGTGGCAGAGTTGTTCGTCGGCGTTTCCCCAAGGAAGATAACGTCACCTGCTGCTGCTGCTGCTGCTGCTGCTACTGCTGCTGCGGCCTTCTGTTTCGGCGGTGTCTTGGGAGCGGGCGGCGGCGGGGGGGGTATTGTCTTCTTCTTGGCGCGGCCCGGCGTCAAGGCGGAAGCTGCGGCGCGCTTGGTCGACGAAGACGATGGTCCGGCGGTCCGAGGGGCGGAGCTCGGCGTGCTGTTGAGGGTGCTCCCGCTGCTGCTGCTGTTGGCGACGGCGGCGGCGGCGGCGGTGCTGCGGGGCTCGGACGGCGGGGTGCCGGCCGTCGTGGACGGAGTGCCGATGATGCCCGACGACCGCTTGCTCTTGCCGGCCGTAGGCGGCGACAGAGAAAAGAAGCTCCTGATGTCTGTTCTCGACTTGGCGGGACGGGCAGCGCGAACGACAGTTAGTTGTCCATTGAGGGAGTGAGCGCGCGGGGGGGGGGG